AGCCGACGAGGCGTAATAATAAAATCAAAGATTGTTGAACATTCGACAATGGTGATGGCCAAAGAGGCATCATGGAAGGAAAGAGGTAAGGATTTCTCAAAGCCTCAAAACAAAGACTCCATTTGGTGTAGGTATAGCAAGAAACCAAGACATAGAAAGGAGATATACTAGAAGTTACTTGGAAAGCCCCAATGTAATGAGTGGAATCAAAGAAGCAGATAAAAGGGAACATTACAAGCTAACACTACGACAAGTCAGCCCAAACCCAAAAACACAATCCAATTTTAGAGAGCTTAACAAAGAAGATATTGATAAGCTAAAACAACTCATGGTATCACTTGAAAAACCAACTGCATCTTCTTCTCTTGCACTTTCCGGTAAATTTCTTATATCCATTAGATTAAGTGCCTCAAAAAATCATTTGAAATGAGTATGGATCATTTGACTCAGGAGCTATCGATCACATCACATTTCACTGCCCACTTCATCAACTACACTGCTTGCCTGAGTGATAAGAAAATCATCACTGCTAATGGTTCTCTTACCACAATAACAGGCCAATAAGATATACCCTTATCTCCCTCCCTCACTTTAAAAATATGCTCAATGTACCTCAATTATCCACAAACCTAATATCTATACAAAAACTTACCAGTGATCATAATTTTCAAGTCTTATTTAACCCTATTTGTTGCTTATTTCAGAACCAGGGATCAGGGAAGAAGATTGGACTTGCTAAGGAGAGAGACGGACTATATTACCTTGAAGAGATGAACAAATCCACTATTATTAATAATGGCTATTATATGTTATCCTTATTTAATAAAAAATATACTATTTGGCTTCATCATTTAGAATTAGGACATCCATTAAAATGAATATTTTCATTGTGAAACTTGTGAGTTGGTCAAGCATAAATGAATTTATTTTTCAAATAAAATTGAGAGATATCATACCCCTTTCTATTCATAGTGATATTTGGTAGACCTGTCAATATTGGACCCGACCCGAAAACCCGACCCGAAAATTTCGGGTTTGGGTTGACCCGAACCCGAACCGGGTCGGGTTCGGGTCCGGAAAACTGACCCGTTTAAAAAATCGGGTCGGGTTCGGGTTGACCCGGGAACCCGAAAATAACCCGAAATGACCCGGAATAAAGCTCTGCCCGCCTGACCCGCTTCCCCGGCTGACCCACTTGCCCCGGCTGCCCAGTCTGCCCCGTGCCCGCCCCGCCTGCCCACTGCCCCAGCTGCCCGGTCGCGTCAGCGTGTAGCATCCCGAGGTGGCGAGTCGCTCAGACGCTGACTGGCGACAAGACGAGGCAGTTTCGCGCTCATTCCGCCATTCGCACGCCGCACTCATCCGGTCATCCCGACTCCCGAGCTCACAGCTTCACATCCCGCACGCCGGCACGCCTCCCGAGCTCACGCCCCGCACGCGTCATCGCGCCTTCCGAGCGCCTCGAGCTGCTTTCGCCGGCGTCGGGCGTCACCGGCTGGTTTCGCGGCGTCGGACGTCACCAGATCCTTTCGCCGGCTTCCGCTGCCGCCAGCCGCTGCAGGCATTATTGTATTCGCGGGTCGGGTCGGGTTGACCCGAACCCGAAGCGGGTCGTGTTTGGGTCCAGAAAATCGACCCGTTTTTAAAAACGGGTCGGGTCGACCCGAACCCGAATAATGCCGGGTCAGTTTCGGGTTCGACCTGAACCCGACCCGTGACCCGAAATTGACAGGTCTAATATTTGGGGACCTTAAAAAATTTCTAACATCTCAGGGTCTTGATGGTTTGTATCCTTCATTGATGACAACAATCGAGTCTATTAGATCTTTCTTCTCAAAAATAAATTCAATGTGAGCACTATCCTTCCCATTTTTCACACCATGATTCAGAATCAATTCGGAGTAAAATTAAGAAAATTCAGTGCTGACAGTGCCAAAGATTATTTTAATCAAACTATATCCTCCTACTTTCATAAAGAAGGTATCATTTACGAGCCTTCCTACATTCATACCTCATAACAAAACAGAGTTACTGAAAGAAAAATTGGCCATCTTCTTGCCTCCACCACAATGTACCCAAATCCTACTAGGGAAAGCCCTTTTGATTGCCACATATCTAATAAATCACTACCTTCAACAATCTTGGGATTAAACATATCAATGGATATTCTATCCTCTTGTTATTCTAAATTTCGAACCCATAACAACCACACACCCAAAATTTTTGGGTGCACTGCCTATGTTCACATTCATAGTCAAAATAGAGGAAAGTTAGATCCAAGAGCACTCAAAAGTATTTTTGTTGGATATTCATTCACCCAGAAAGGTTACAAATGTTATCATCCCTCTATCATGAAAACTCTTGTATCTGTTGACGTTATTTATTATGAACAAAAATCTTATTTCATCAAACCTCATCTTTAGGGTGAGACTAAAATTGAGGAAGATGAGGAAAGTGAGTTTGTCCCTCTTGACCTTTCAGCTCCACCTCAAACTTATCCACCTAAACCTGAAATCAAAGCCAGGAAAATTGAGGACAAAGCTATTATGGATAATATGAGGTTTGAGAAAGTGGATTCAAGACGTACAAATCCAAATTATGCTCCAGAGCAGATCCATGAATCTGACAGTCTCCTAAATTTGAGTTAAATATAAGTTCACCAAAAAAACCTCTCTTGTGCCCCATACTAACTTTGTATCCTTCCATAATTTCTCAGTTCTCACATTCATAAACAAAATTTTTTGTTACACTAAATTATATTCATATTCTTAATGATATTTTTTGAAGCTTTATCTGATGAAAATTGGAAAATTATCATGAAAGATGAAATTCAAACCCTGAAAAAGAACAATACATGGGAGATCACTGACCTACTAGTGGGGAAAAAACCAGTCATCCAGTTTAAGGCAAGACTGTTGATGGTACACTAGAAAGGTATAAGGCAAGATTGCTAGCGAAAGAGTACACTCAGATGTATGAGATTGACTACAAGGAAATTTTTGCACCTGTGACAAAGATGAACACAGTTAGGATCTTGCTCTCACTAGCAGCTAATTATAACGGATATCTGGAACAGTTGGCTGTCAAAAACACATTCCTACATGAGGACTTGGTGGAAGAGATATTTGTGGAGATTCCACCTGGATTCAAGGAACAATTTGGGGGTAACAAAGTATGCATATTAAAAAAGGCTCTATATGGGCTAAAACAGTCACTTAGAGCTTGGTTTGGAAGGTTCTCAAAAGTCATGTTACTTGATGATTATCGACAAAGCCAAGGCGACCATACATTATTCATCAAGCACTCAGACTCATGGGAAGTCACAATTTTATTAGTTTATGTGGATGATATCATCTTGATTAGGAATGATGAAAAGGAGAAAGTAATTCTAAAGAAATGTCTTACAAAGGAACTTGAAATCAAAGATCTTGGTAGATTGAAATATTTTCTTGGAATTGAAGTGACCCACTACAATAAAGGAATCTTCATTTCATAACAAAAATACATTAATGTTCTTTTTAAAGAAATAAATAAACTAAGCTTGTGAATTGGCACTAACACCAGTAGAACTAAATCTCAAATTGGGGGAAGCTAAAGAATATCCAAATGTAGATAAAAGAGCTTACTAGATGCTTGTGGGAAAATTGATCTGCCTTTCCCACACCAGACCAGATATAGTATTTGTTGTAAGCAGGGTCAGCCAGTTCATGCAAAATCCAAAGCAGACTGACATGCAAGCTGTAAACAGAATATTGCATTATCTTATGGGGAACCTAGGTCAAGAGATTCTCTTCAAAAGAGACTGTGGAATAACCCTAAAAGCATATACTAATGCAGAATATGTAGGATCACCAATAGATAGATGATCAACCTTAGGATATTGCACATTCTTTAGAGGAAACCTAGTTACATGAATAAGTAAGAAACAAAATGTGATGGCAAGATCTAGTGTAGAAGCAGAATACATAGCTATGACCATAGGAATATATGAGCTACTGTGGATCAAGATAATTCTAGAAGACCTAAGGATCAAGTGGAAATGACTCATAAAACTACACTGTGACAACAAATCAACATAGCTCACAATCTGGTTCAAAATGACAGGCACATAGAAGTGGACAAATATTTCATAAAGGAGAAATTAGATAGTGGTCTTATATGTATCGACCATGTTTCATCAAAATACCAACTTGTAGATATTTTTACTAAGGGACTTGATAACTCTACCTTTCTCGGACTGATTACCAAGTTGGGAATGACGGATTTGTTTTCCTCAGCTTGAGGGGGAGTGTTAAATCCCAGTCGTTGTGGGCTCCGAAAATTCGGCCCCGGCCTCTGCTCGCTTTTCTTATTCGGCGAGGGAGTTTTAACGAGTGCAAAAAAATCTATAGGATTTGATTAAGAATATCAATTATGTATGTTTGTTTCATATTCTTGCAATATTTTTTTTTTTACTTTTTTGTGGTTGAAAATATGGTGATGATTTTGATAGACATTTTATTTGCATTTGGAAGATAAAAAAAAATTAAAACAACTTTTCATAATATTATATATATATAATTTTTTAATATTTATTTTTTCATTATTATTATTTCATTACCTTTCAAAAAAATTTTGACTAGAAGATGTTTTTTGCAACCAAGTATGGTAGTGAAAAAAAGTTATTACTTATTTTTTTAAAATCATATTTATAATTCTTACAATATTTTTTTAAAAAAAAATTTGTAACAACTTCAAAATCTTTTTTATAAAAAAATTACAAACACTCCAAACAAATATGTATTGTGTTTCCTTTTTTTTTTTGCAACTCATTTAAACACATTATAATAAATTCAATCGTAAAATATAGTTTTTCAGGATAAACATTTCTGAAAAGTACAATCTGAAAATTAATTAAATCATAAAACTATTTCAAATTGGCTGTTAAAATTTATTTGAGATTACCTCAGCTTCTTATGAAGATAGTTATGAAACTGTTAAGATAAATTTATTTGAGATTACCTCAACTGCGCGGTCGCTTCACACCGCTACGCATCCAGCGTCTTCGCCGCCGGCGAAAGGGCCATGATCTACGTCGATGGCCTTCCTCTTACGACCACCGACCCTTCTTTTAAGGTTTTCCTTTCCTTCTCCTCCTCTTGGCTTTAAGAAATGTTAACTCGTTACTTACTTCGATTCGGCTCTTTTACGATTAGGGTAGCTAGCTCTTAGCATTTCTACTTGAACATCCGATGCTTATCGCAGCTTCAAATCGCCTCAAGGCGATGCCCGAGAAAAATGTCCCGTTCTCTCTAGCCAAGTACTTGTATGTGTTCCAGCGAGAGTATCATAATTGCGTTTAGATGCCTGTCGTTTATTTTTATCTGTCCTTCCGAGAGGATATTGCGATTAATTTTTTTTTGTGCAGTTGGGGTTTGGATAGAGTGTGGGCATGGAACAATGGTTTTTTCCCTCCATCTTGATTGGAGGTGCTGAGTTCAAAAAACCGAAAAGTCTCCCTAATTTGGGTAATTTAAGGTAATGCTGCTTGCTAGGGATGGTAATTATGTTGGAAAGTTAAAGCTTGCTCGTTAATAGGTCTAATTTTAGTTGGCAGTAAGTTGAAAAAGATTTGTGATGTGGAATATTCCTTGTTCCACATGGGAGAGCCGCTGTTTGCCAGGTGGACAGGGAAGTGCTTCCTCGTTACCGTTAGGATTATAGCTTTTCAATACCGTAGTACTTATTTTAGTATCAAAGTAATTATACACCTTTGCTTATGTTTCAGCTTTTAGTAGAATCCCAACTGCGTATATGAAGCAGGGGAAGAGGAGAAGAATTCAGCTTTTTGATAATAGAAAACGTTTGCTGAAGCAAATTACTGTTACATTGGTTTTTCCTTGTTCTCTGTTCTTTGTATTGTTGCTTCCACAGCAAGTTGGTATCAGAGCTTGGGAGGAATCGGCAATGGCGGAGAGCAGTAGACGACCCGTTCTTGACGGCGATCAAGGCGAAGGCTCTCTGGAGACAACGCAGGCCCAGATCGTCCAGCAACTGGCGGAGCTCAAGACAGAGTTCCGGCGTTTTGTCACAGAGATGCGGCTAGAAATCCAAAGTATCAAGATCAATGGCGGCAATGTCCATCTGCCGCACAGGATCACGTCTCCCACACACCGACCAGCGCAACATCGAGGGCGAGGAGGTCGGCGAGCACGGCACGAGATGCTGAATACGGCGGATCTGACGGATTCAGACGTGGAGGTCGGATGTTACCCCCAGGAAAACAACTCAGATATTGGCGAAGAAGAAATACAGCGTTATTTCTCACCACCGCGACATCGCCAGGACGTCTGGACACGACAACAGGGTGAGTTTAAGGTAAAGATGGATATCCCATTTTTTGATGGAAAATTGCACATAGAAGATTTTCTTGATTGGGAGCATTCAGTAGAAACGTTCTTTGAGTACATGGATGTTCACCCGGAGAAGCAGGTGAAGTACGTAGCATGTCGTCTGCGAGGCGACGCGAGTGCGAGGTGGCAGCAACTGTTACAAGCACGCAGTCGCGAAGGCAGAGGCAATGTTCGAACCTGGACAAGGATGAAACAACTGTTAAGAAGCCATTATTTGCCCACGGACTACGAGCAAATTTTATACATGAAATTTCAGCAATGTGCACAGGGGCATCGCAGCGTAAGTGACTATACAGAGGAGTTCTACCATCTCAGCGCTCGCAACAACTTAAACGAATCAGCAAATCAAATTGTGGCCCGCTACATAGGCGGCCTGCGGGAAGCTATCCAGGATAAGTTGGAGTTAAATTCTGTATGGTCACTTTCTCAGGCCGTCAATTTTGCTTTAAAAGCTGAAATGCAGCTCAACCGACCGGCCAAGGCACATTATCAGAGGCGGAATTCGAGTGATACGTTTCCGTCTGACTCGCGGATACAGGGGACACCTGCAGCAAATAGTTCCAAAACTATGTCTAAGGGTTCCACAGGAGCGTCGCCTCACACACCGCATGGAGATAATAAGTCTAAGGCACCTATAAGAGACAATCCATATGGAAGACCCACAACACTGAAGTGTTTTAGGTGCTTTCAGCCAGGCCACAAATCAAATGAGTGTCCAAGTCGTCAACAATTGCAACTCATGGAGGGAGAAACCGATCCTAATGTGGATCAGGCAGACGCTGGTGATGAGGAGGAGTATGAAGAAGTAGCAGCTGATGAAGGTGAGCCGGTTGTTTGTGTCCTGCAGAAATTGTTGTTGGCTCCGACCCAAGACACCAAATCGCAACGTCACGCAATTTTTAAAACCAAATGCACGATAAAGGGTAAAGTCTGCGATCTCTTGATTGATAACGGGTGTACATAAAATATTGTCTCCCGAGCGGTGGTTCAAGCGCTGCAACTTAAAACCACAAAAAACCCAAATCCATATAGGATTAGTTGGGTTAAGAAGGGCATAGACGTACAAGTAACTGAGATGTGCAGGATCAGTTTTTCTATCGGGAAACACTATAGCCATGAGGTTCTTTGTGACGTCCTTGACATGGATGTATGTCACCTAATTTTAGGTAGGCCGTGGCAATTTGACACGGGCGTGATGTATGATGGAAGGGCTAATGCTTACCTGTTCGAATGGAAAGGGCGAAAATTGCGCTTGCTTCCATCTCCTCAGCGTGCTGTTGACGAAGAAGTGAATCCCAAGCCAGCCTTATGCATTGTTACTGGGAATTCTCTGTTGAAACATGGGCGAGAATCGAAGATTTTGGTTGCTGTTATAGTGGCTGAGGCAAATGATGTTGTTACTCCCAACTGTTATACCCCGGAACTACAAGCAATTTTGAAGGAGTTTGCGGATACTGTGCCGGCTAGTTTGCCAAATGAATTACCTCCCATGCGAGCCATTCAACATCAGATAGATTTTATACCTGGAGCCACATTACCAAACCTGCCTCACTACAAAATGAGTCCGACGGAGCACGTACATCTACAAAAGATCATTGATGAACTCCTGGACAAGCAGCTTATTCAACCCAGTTTGAGCGCGCCCATGTGCCGTTCCTGCCTTGCTCGTACCGAAGAAAGACGGCTCGTGGAGAATGTGCATTGACAGCCGATCAATCAACAAAATTACGGTAAAATATAGATTTCCGGTACCTCGATTGGAGGATATGCTGGACTACTTAGAGGGATCAAAGGTGTTTTCAAAATTGGATTTGCGTAGTGGGTACCACCAAATCCGCCTCCGTGCCGGCGACGAGTGGAAGACTGCGTTTAAGACGCGGCATGGCTTGTTCGAGTGGCGTGTAATGCCCTTCGGGCTATGCAATGCACCAGCCACATTTCTTAGGCTTATGACTGACGTCTTGAAGCCACTGCTGGGTAAATGTTGCGTCGTTTATTTCGACGACATCTTGGTTTTTAGCCCAACAATTGAAGACCATTGGAAACACCTGCGGGAGGTATTGGGCTTACTTCAACTCCACAAATTGTATTTAAACCGTGCCAAATGCAAATTCGCCACTTCATCAGTACGCTTCTTGGGCTTTGTGGTCTCGGCCAAGGGAGTAGCAGTTGATCCAGATAAGGTAAGGGCGATCCAGCAGTGGCCGACGCCGAATTCCCTTACTGAGGTTCGCAGTTTTCAGGGGTTGGCCAATTTTTACAGAAGGTTTATTCGAGGCTTTAGCCTAATCACCGCGCCAATTACTGACTGCTTAAAAGGGAGCTCGTTCAAATGGGGGGCTGAACAGCAGCGCAGTTTCGAAACCATTAAGGAGGCACTCTCGACAGCTCCAGTTTTGGCCGCACCAAATTTTCAAAAGCCTTTTAACGTTGACACGGACGCTTCAGCTATAGGCATTGGTGCCGTGCTATCACAAGAAGATCGGCCAGTGGAATTCTTTAGTGAGAAACTCAGCCCGGCCAGACAAAAGTGGTCGACATACGAGCAAGAGCTCTATGCGGTAATTCGGGCGCTCAAGCAATGGGAACACTACCTTTTGCATAGCGATTTTGTGTTGTGCAGCGATAATCAAGCACTTCAATACTTAAATTCGCAAAAGAGTATTAATAGAATGCACGCCCGATGGATTGTGTTTTTACAGAAGTTCAGCTTCGTCCTTAAGCACAAGTCTGGGAAACAAAACAGAGTAGCCGACGCTTTGAGTCGTCGTTCGGCATTGCTGATCCAGCTCCAAACTGAAATCACGGGCCTGGAGGCTCTTAAAGATTTGTATGGCACTGATCAGGATTTTGCGGAACCATGGGCCAAGTGTTCGGCCGGACAACCAATTGATGACTTCAATTTAAGGCATGGATTTTTGTTCAAAGGAAACTCTCTTTGTGTGCCCGCCTCATCTGTTCAGTTACAACTAATTCAGGAGATGCATATCGGGGGAATGGCTGCACATTTGGGTCGTGAGAAGACAATCGACCAGATGAAAGCTCGTTTCTTTTGGCCACATTTGCGTAGAGATGTTGCCAGATTTGTACAAAACTGTCCGGTATGCCAAGTTTACAAAGGCCACAGCCAGAATACAGGC